TTTTTTTTTTTTTTTTTTTTTTTTTTTTTTTTTTTTTTTTTTTTTTTTTTTTTTTTTTTTTTTTTTTTTTTGTAGAGCTGAGAAATGACCATACGGAGATCACTGAAAAGATTAATCAGAACATACAAATTTTGCATTCTGCAAAGCCTGCTTCGAGCTTGGCACTCTCTAAGGATGCAGGTAATTGTGAGATAGATGCTATGCTGCAGAATAACACATCGTTTATCCTTGCATGCCTCAGCTGCGGCTGCACTAGAATTTCTATGCCATAGTTAACTAACTCATGGAGGTTTCCACACTTATACACTCATAGTTTGTTGCTTGGCTCCCCCTTTTTGTGGGCTTCTTTTTTATTGCCCTTCTCGATTAAACTTTAATGCCCTTCTCAACTATATATCATTTGGATTCTGCTTCTGTGTTGCCTAATTGTCTTTGTGGGGGAATTGATCTCCCCTCGCGTTTACGGTTGCCTTTTCAAGAATTTTGTTCTTATGAAACTTTCTTGTGAAACAAAAGTAACAATAATGATAACCAGAATAGAAAAGCCATCACATGCCTGCTGATTTCACAAGTACATATATCCTGTACTAGAATCACCTGCAGATATCTCTATTGAAAATTGTCTCGTGATATGTGTGCCATTTGAATAATTATCATGGGATCAATCCTGATTCTACCTATCTCATGCATCTATTAGGGAATACAGAGGTTTCAAATGGCCAAAGGTCATCTGTCACAACTGTTGCAGTACCATCCTCAAATGTATCGTCCACTGCAATGGACATAGATGCAAATGGAGGTATACCTTTTGCACTGGTTGACGAAATAGCCGATGCATCGCCAGCAGCAGATGATGGATTACAACTAGGCGATCAAGTTCTTAAATTTGGGAATGTAGAAGGCGGTGATGTTCTGTTGCATAGGCTTGCCTCTGAAGCACAGAGTAATCAAGGTCGTCCAATACCTGTTGTGGTTACGAGGCATGGTACTCCAGTCAATTTAACCGTGACACCCAGATCATGGCATGGCCGGGGTCTCCTTGGGTATGTGTGTTGCTCGTCCTTTCTATACCCGCTTAATTCTCAATTCAATGGTGAATGTTCTACTAGACCTGACCACTAATTCATTGCTATTGGGTGCTTGCAGATGCCATTTTCGGATGTTGTAGCTGGCTCTAACCACAATTTCAACCTGTCCCTGGTGGCTGTTGATAAAAACAGTAACCATTTCTGCTCAACTCTCATGTTCTACACTCAATCTACTGGTTTAATTCTAGGTTCCACGTGTTTGACTGGTTTTATAATCCAATTATTGCCCACACTGCCCTTTTTTTTTTTTGTCATTTTGCATAGATTTTCTGTAAATTGAAACAATAGGATAAGTTGCAGTTTTATGCTATTTTAGTGGTGTACTTCTTATGATGTCAATCTTTACTGTTTCTTGTTGCTTTGTGTGTAAAGTTACTTCAGAAGACATGATACTTTTCTTGAGAACATCATTTTGTTAATGGAATCAAAGGACTTTTAGCTTACTACTTTCATTTTCATTGCTTGTTATCTTAGGATTAAACCAAAAATGTTCAGATCTGGAAAACATTTGGCCTTAGCCTCTTGGTGAGGTTTCTGGATCGATGTGATGTCCCACGTTGGTTGGGGAGAAGAACGGAACCTCCCCTAATAGACGCATTTTAAAGTCTTGAGGGAAAAAGAGGACGATATCTGCTAGCGGTAGATCTGGGGCATTACAAATGGTATTAGAGTCAAACACCGGATGATGTGCCAACCTTCTCGTTGTTCCCCAAAGGGGGTGGTGGACACGAGGCGGTGTGCTAGTAAGGACGCTGGGCCTCGAAAGGGAGTGGATTTAGGGGCGGTCCCACATCGATTGGAGGAAGGAAAGAGTGCCAGCGAGGAGGCTGGGCCCCAAAGGGGGTGGATTGTGATGTCCCACGTTGGTTGGGGAGGAGAACGAATCACCCTTTATAAGGGTGTGGAAACCTTCTCCTAGTAGACGCTTTTTAAAGTCTTGAGGGGAAGTCTGAAAAAAAAAGTTCAAAGAGGACAATATTTGCTAGCGATCTGAGACGTTAGAATCTGAAATCCACAGTTTAGGAGTGGAAAAGTTCAGCCTAATTTTTTTCAGAGAGAGAGAGAGAGAGGTGTTGAAAAGATGCATGAAAAGCTAAGCAAATGGGAAGCCTTTGTTCACCAACTCCAGGCGGCTGTATTCAATTTATTTACCAACTCGTTTGTCTCCATTTTGGAGGGCACTGCCATTGTTTTAAAAGCTCCGGTGCCCTTCTTCTCACTTTTTTTTTTTTTTTCTTTTTTCGTTTTGTCTAGAAGAGAGTATTTGATCCTCAAACCTCTTGATCGAGAGAATATATTGAGATGAACGGAAAATTTTCTTTTAGGGTACCTATTCTTTGTAAATCATTGTTAGCAAAGAAATCAAATATAATCTTAATATGTTAGGTTCGTTCTATCAATTCATTTATAAATATATATATATATATAGTATTATATATATGTATATATGCATATATAGTATGTTAGACCGGAGAAATTTTTGCTAATATTTCTATTCATGCATTAAATTATATAAGAAAAGTATAGAGATCTATACATTTTTTAAAACGACCTAAACTTATATTTTGTCTAAAAAAATACTTTTAAATTTTCATAAGTTCCAGTTTGAAATTGTTAGTGATTTGTTTCAAAAATATATTTAAATTTTTAATATTGTTTAAAAAAATTCATATAGATTTTTAAAACTCAAAAGTTAGGTTTTAAATCATTTTTGTAAGTTAAACAAGTTACTTTTCAAACTTTTGAAATTAAATGTATTTTTTAAATAAAAGTATTATCAGTTTTTTTAAAGATTTTTTTAGATTTTATTTTTTATTTTTTAAATAAAGTATTATTGAAACGAGTTTCTTTTATTAATTTAACCTAATATTATATTAAAAAACGTGGATTGTGGCAGTTGTTCGAACACCGAGCCCCTGAGTGTGAATAACATTCCCATAATCTTCTCCAAATTCTTCTGCAGCCGCACATACGCTTCAGGCCTTCGCCTGCTCATAAACAGGTAAAAGTATTTCTTGATCTTTCAGTCCTATGCTTATGATTCGAACTTTTTGGTATCTCCGCCAAAACCCGCAGCATTCACTGTCAACCCTTGACAGGCTTAGCCGCCTTTGTGTTTTCTCAGGTTTTTCATGTCTTGTTCTTGCATATTTTGCTAATGGGTGAGCTGGGTTGTTCTTATTTTTTAATTTAGATGTTTGTTTTCTTTATGATTTTGTTATAGTTGTGGATTTCACTTTCTGGGTTGTTTCTGGAGTTGAGTTTAGTGATGGATTTGATTGATTTCCCCTGTTTCTAATGTGGAATTTTACATCTATGGAAGAATCTTGATGTTTTGATGTTTCATTTTGTGGATGCTGCGTTGTTTTTCATTGGCTATGAATTGCAATAGGAATTAGAAATGATAGAAACTTATGGTTCTGGTGGTTTGTTTTACAATTGTGTTGGGTTAATTACTCTGACATGGTTCAACCAAAGCGATGGGCGTAGGGGTCTGGTTTCCTTTGAAATGTTCTTGTGGTTAAACCTTGTATCTACATTATGATCAAAGCCATGATTCTACTGATATGCCATTTTTAAACAAATCTAGGACATAGACATGGCAAGGTCACATTTATTGAAGTATACACCTCAACACGGTTATGCATTCATATGTTTGAAAAATGAAATGAGTTGGGTCTTGAACTCTTTTTGACCTATATTATTATCTGTCTATTTAGTGTACTTAATGAGTGTTCGATACGTGCCTAATAAAGGTTGAACCTACATTAGCTTTATATAATGAGTGTTTGTGAGATCCCACATCGGTTGAAGAGGAGAATGAAACATTATTTATATGGGTGTGGAAACTTCTCCCTAGCAGACGCGGTTTAAAAACCTTGAGGGAAAGCTCGAAGGGGAAAACCCAAAGAGGACAATATCGGCTAGCTGTGGACTTGGGTCGTTACAAATGGTATCAGAGCCAGACATCGGGCGATGTGCCAATGAGGAGGCTGTGCGCCGAAGGGGGGTGGACACGAGGCGGTGTGTCAGCAAGGATGTTGGGCCCCGAAGGGGGTGGATTGTGAGATCCCACATTGATTGGAGATGAGAACGAAACATTCTTTATAAAAGTGTGGAAACTTCTCCCTAGCAGATGCGTTTTAAAACCTTGAGAGAAAACCAGAAAGGGAAAGCCTAAAGAGGACAATATTTGTTAGCGGTGGGCTTGAGCTGTTACAAATAGTATTAGAGCCAGACACTAGGCGGTGTGCCAATGAGGACATTGGACCTCTAAGGGGGGTGGATTGGGAGATCTCACATCGGTTGGAGATGGGAACAAAGCATTCCTTATAAGGGTGTGGAAACTCTCTCTAGTAGATGCGTTTTACAATCGTGAGGCTGACGACAATACGTAACGAGCCAAAGCGGACAATATCTGCTAGCAGTGGGTTTGGGCTGTTACAAATAGTATCAAAGGCAGACACCGAGCGGTGTGCTAGCGTGGGTTGGGTTGTTACATAATTATACAAAAAGAATCAAAAGACACCCTTATAGCACAATGTCAAACTATCTTCCCTTCTCCTTTAAAGCACCATCCATCAAGCACTTCGACAAGCCAATCATCGTTTTGCTGTCCTCGAGTTAGGTTCGGGTTATCAAATTTGAATTGGTACTGTTAGTTTCTTTGTTTGTAGAAGTCAAACTTGTCACATTGATAGCAATGCTAATAATATTTTTTTATAGGAAAAAAATGACTAAGAATCTTCTCTATCTTTTACTCAATTGTATTGTTTATTCAAGAAGACTTTGACTGGATGTGCCATGTTGTCTGTAACTCTGTCTGCTTCAATTTTCTAAAGATCAGAAGCTATGCTATTTGTGTCTAGGTCAGCATCTCTCTTCGAGGTTCGAACCGAATATATTGCTTGACTACACATGTCTTATGATGATTCTTATATATCGATGGATGTAACGGAGAATGCCCCGGAAGAGGCTTCAGCTTCAATATGGAAGCGGATCTCGGCCATCAGGCAAACAGCTTCAGAAGCATTCAGAAGAAAACCAATCTCACATTGGATTCTTCTTGCTCTAAGCAGTGTAGCAATGCTTGTGGCGTTCCCCGCTTCGTCTATACTTTCCCGTGTCTATTACGACAACGGTGGGAAGAGCAAATGGATCATTTCCTGGGTATCGGTCGTCGGCTGGCCTATTCCCGCTCTATTGTTGTTTCCCATGTATTTCTTATCTGATATCCATCCTACCCCTCTGAATTGGAAGCTCATTGTTTCTTATGTTGTGCTGGGATTCTTAAGTGCAGCTGATAACCTCATGTATGCATATGCTTATGCATACCTCCCTGCTTCTACCGCTTCACTTTTGGCTTCGTCGTCGCTCGTATTCTCTGTATTATTCGGTTACCTTCTTGCCAAGAATCGACTTAATGCCTCGATATTGAATGCTGCCTTCATTATCACAGCTGCAGTTGTGATGATCGGTTTGGATTCGAATTCAGATAGATATGGAGGCATAACCGATCAGCAATACATATTAGGATTCGTATGGGATATATTAGGCTCCGCTCTCCATGGACTCATCTTCGCTCTATCCGAGCTAGTTTTCATAAAGCTCCTCGACCGAAAGTCTTTCCACGTTGTGTTGGAACAACAAGTAATGGTTTCGTTTTTCGCCTTCTTGTTTACGACTCTCGGCGTCGTTCTAAATAATGATTTTCAGAACATGAAATCAGAAGCTGAAAGTTTCGTCGGTGGTAAGTCGTCGTATTTGCTCGTGCTTATTTGGAGTGCAGTTTCTTTCCAGTTAGGAGTGTTGGGAGGAACTGCTGTTCTGTTTTTATCATCGACCATTCTTGCTGGCGTCTTGAACGCGGTTCGGGTGCCTATTACGAGTATTGGTGCTGTGATTTTCTTGAAAGATCCTATGAGTGGCTTCAAGATCCTCTCTTTAGTTATCACTTTCTGGGGATTCAGCTCCTACATTTATGGCAGTTCTTCTATAAGTAAGCAATCCTAAACTTATACTATTCTTGCATTTTTCGACTCTCGAATTGTTGATTACGACCCGGTCCTATGATTTGCTCATTTTACTTTAAGATCTCTTGTATAGTCTCTTAGATCATAAGCTTGCTTTGCTGTGTGTTCTTGTTCCTTAAATTCTGCTACATTTGACTTACAATTTACTGTTTGTTTGTGTGAATTCATAAGTTAGTGGATAATGTTGTTAGAACTTGGAAAATCTCAATTTATTTGAAAAAAAAAATTATAATTTTTATATTCGCTTTGATTTTATTCAAGGAGGCGAAGACCCTGCACGTAAGTAACATCGTTTTGTTTCTTGAAAGATATGTTACTTCCCGTTCTTCTGTCTGTCATCTGTCAACAGGTATGAATTGCATCTGGTCAATCAGTACACACGACATCTGTCTGTAAATAAACCGAAATCTTTT